ACAACAGTCAGTGTGTAATCGCAACAGTAATTGTGTAATCACAACAGTCATTGTGTAATCGCAACAGTCAGTGTGTAATCACAACAGTCATTGTGTAATCACAACAGTCAGTGTGTAATCACAACAGTTATTGTGTAATCGCAACAGTCATTGTGTAATCGCAAGAGTCAGTGTGTAATCGCAACAGTTATTGTGTAACTCTTGCGCTATCGTTGCGGAAGTCAAGTGTCGCAGTCGTTGGTGCCGATAATGGCGCTTTAATGACCTGTAATTAGTGGTGGTGGTGGTGGTGCTGTGAAGGGCGGCGCCTGGCATCAACGTGGCGTTGCCAGTTCTTTAGGCTATCTTCCATCAGCCTTCGGGGCGTCGCAGTAGCGAGATGTTGACTACCTCGCCTGGTCCACAGGAGGTCCTTGGTTCGATCCCCGACGCCTGCTGAATATTTGGAGTTTGCGCGCCTCTCTCTCCCCGTGGAGATTTTTCTCCGGGTTTCCCCTCCACATTTAGAATCAACATCACCCCGCGTTTAGAGTGTTTGGATGATCAAGATGTCCACGTGATGAGCCACTTCGTTGGGGCTATCATTTGTAAGATGAAGTAAGCAGTCAGAGGAAGGGAACTCATCCAAGAGGACGCTGTGGAGATGGAGCGATGTAATCGCCTCGTGTACACAATTTGCAGAAGCGTGAGGGATGGGCAAATGGTGTTATCTGGTCCTTCAATCAGCAGTGGATAAGAACACGGATGATGATGATGATCATCGGGTGTCCTTGATTTGTATCCGTAGTGATTTCACGTTTAATTCAACACGGATATCAGTTCGGCCTTTTAACGCATCACTGAATAAAAAAACCGCATAAGCGCTCGTCAGCATTCGCGGCCTCACGGCCCACACGCGCACCCTGCTCATACCTCTTTCACACCTCGCTCACACCTCGTTGTTTCATCCCCCCTCCACCACAACGCACCATCCTCACCGCCAGCCAGAGGCGGGCTGCGTCATTTCGGTTGCCACTTGGCCGATGGCGCCCCCCGCTTAAATAAAGGATTCTCCTAAAAGTGAACTTGCATTTTTTCGTGTCATGTAATTATTAACTTTTAAAATTGGGTTTAAAAAAATAAACATTTGTTCGTGGCTTATTCTTGGTTCTTTCGGTAAAGTCACGTAGAAGGGAAACAATAAAATAATAAAAATATAAAGCAATAAAATTCTCACGACGTTTCGACTGCAACACAAGCAATCATCATCAGGTGTGAAAACCACAACAAGAAATTTTGAAAAAAAGTGGCGGGTTTTTTTAACGTTAGCACCACGGAGAGCGATTTGACAGTTTGTTCAGATGGACGAGTCCATCTATGTTCGGAAAAGAGGAGGGGGGAGACGAACAAATAATGGATGCGGTCTGAAAGCCACCCCCTCCTCTTTTCCGAACATAGATGGACTCGTCCATCTGAACAAACTGTCAAATCTCTCTCAGTGGTGCTAACGTTAAAAAAAAACGCCACTTTTTTCAAAATTTCTTGCTGTGGTTTTCACACCTGATGATGATTGCTTTTGTTGCAGTCGAAACGTCGTGAGAATTTTATTGTTTTATATTTTTATTATTTTATTGTTTCCCTTCTACGTGACTTTACCGAAAGAACCAAGAATATGAATCCCTGCAGTCACGAAAGCTTTAAACAAAGTTTGTTCGTGGCTTGATAAAAATGTAGAACAAGTGGATAATTTCAAGTCTTTTATTTGTATCCGTTCCGATTAAACCATATGCATACAGCAGTTTCTCGATTATCCTCGCTAATGACGGGATGTCCGTGGATGATCCACAAAAAATCTAATTTTCCTCGGATCTCTATGCCAAAAACCACTGATAGTCGGTATAAATCGTGTTTCGGTTAAGAAAATGTAGTTCGGTTTAAGCACGTGGCTTGTAATACACATTTCGAAGAATAACAATGTAAACTGTTTTCAGATTAAATTATTTGCGTCTTTCGGTAAAGTCACGTAGATGAACCTATCTTCGTGACTTTACCGAAAGACACAAAGAATATTAATCCCTGCAGTCACGAAAGCTTTAAGTCAAGTTTTTCGATTATTAATTTGGGCTCACGGGAAAATCTCCAGTGCGTGGTTGGTCCGCAAATCGGACGAACCTACGCGCAGATGATCGAGTCTACTGTGTATATATAATCCGGGAAGTCCGCGATTTACGAACGGGTTCCGTTCCTGGGACACCTTCTGAAGTCGAACGGTTCGTAAGAGTTGGAACACAATAATGTACCGTGTCTAAGTGCGCATCTTGGTCAGCGTGTACTCACCGGCGTTGGGCTTGACGTGGCATGCTGGGACTCATTACCGCTCACCTCGCGGAGGGTCGCTGCGCCGGAACCAAATAGTTCCGTGAAGATTTTCTAGGCCCCTGGGCTGCAGGCGCCGTGAGGCCCATCGGTAATATTTTCAAAAGTTAAATAAAACTTAAATTGATTTTTACAAGGCTAACAACAAATAAAATTGAGCATTCCAAATGGAAACAGGTCCCTGCAGGGTGGGCTGGTAGGAACATTGGAATTTTTTTTACACCCAACAGCACGAGATTTCACTTCGTTAAAGTATTGAAAGGGGACGGACGGACGGACACATTAATCTATTGCAGGCTGGTACACTCAGTTTACAACTTCGTTCCTACCAGTATAACTTTTCACTTCATCTCTGGAGGTCCTCCAGCTGGCAGAATCCGCCTGGGCTGCAGCCCCTGAAGCCCCCACACGCCTTAATCCGGCCCTGGTTCCACGGTTCGGTTCGCAAGTCGCGTGGCTAACAAGTGTTCGTATCTCACGTCAGTCAGCTCGTTCGCAAGCGCGGACGTTCGTAAGTCGGGGTTACTGCCTGTTAATCGACGGGCGCATTTGCCGCCCCAACGAAGCTCCCACGAGGCCGTGCCGAGCGGGGGCTGCGCGCCAGCTATCGTGGAGTGCCGGCGGTCGTGTCGACAGAGTTCTCTGCGGCGAGTAACAACGTGATAATAGGGTTTTCCCCCCTTTTTTTCTGGCAACGAAACAGCTGTGTTAAGATGTTAAAACACCAAACTGGAACCTTTTACGAGGAATCATGTCTGCATTAACCACAATACTTGTGGTCAGAATGCAAAAAAAACATTCTGATAGTATATGCGTTGTCCTTGAAACTGATTGGTCCACACCAGAGACGGCTTTCTTTTGAGCCTCGTCTCAAACGGTGCTAGACCAGAGGATGCCAAAAGGCGTCACACAGCCCAAAGACAATGCCACTATCAGAGTAATGAGAGCTCGGGGTGAGAATCTACATCACGGCACCTCCTTTGCCAGTACCGAAATATGATAATAGGGTTATCCCCTTTTTTTCTGGCAACAAAACAGGGCTGTGGGGGGGGACGGGGACGCCCACCGCCACCCTGCAGCCTGCGGATGTCTCGGATCGGGGGAAGAGGGCCAATTCAGAACACCGTCAACGAAACATGCAGGGAGACGTTTATTGATCAAACAACGATTCGAGTGAAAACAACCAGGGGGGTGGGGGGCAGCCTGCCCCCCCCCTCCCCACGTGCTTGGCAACTCGGGGTGAGCTCACGTTGACGCGTCCGACCTTTGAACCCCGTATTGTCAGTATAAAAAAAGACATGCCTTGCAAACACACATTAATTAAATACTTTATATTTGTTTTAAATGCTTTGCTGTTATTTATATTAGAAGACCACTTCGTCGCTTATGTACATGAACACTGTGGCAGATATTGACAACGTCTCATCGGCTGCTTCGCGGTTTAGCGCACCGTCTATTGTCCAGCAACTTGCAGTCGTTGACGCAGCAACACAAAGGCAAAGACAAAGATCCCCCGTGTAGCCTGTAACAGACTGTTGGGGCAAGTGCTGTTAGCGAGCACCCGTGAAGGCCGGCACGGTACACGAGGGGGTGGGTGGCCAGCACCGCGCCCGGCCGCCTTTGTCTCCCTGGTGGCGATGTTTACTACACACCGCACCAGGCACTCATTTGAGGTCGAGTCGACCTAGGGGAGGCCCAGGGCCGGTTCAGATAATCGTCACTGTTGTTGGTGGCCGTGAGCAGGAATCGAACTCGGGTCGCCGGGTTCGTAGCGCGGCGTAGTGCTAACCGCTACACTACCGCTCCCCACACACACACACAGTCACACACACACAGTCACACACACAGTAACACACACAGTCACACACACACAGTCACACACACAGTCACACAGTCTCACACACACACAGTCACACACACACAGTCACACACACAGTCACATACACAGTCACACACCCACAAACACATTCACACACACACAGTCACATACACAGTCACACACAGTCACACACACAGTCTCACACACACAGTCGCACACACACACAGTCACACGCACACACAGTCGCACGCACACACAGTCACACACGCACAGTCGCACACACACACAGTCGCACACACACACACAGTCACACACACACAGTCACACACAGAGTCACACACACAGTCACACACAGTCACACACACAGTTACACACACAGTCACACACACACAGTCACATACACAATCACACACAGTCACACACACAGTCACACACACAGTCACACATACACAGTCTCACACACACAGTCGCACACACAGTCACACACACAGTCACACACGCACAGTCACACACACAGTCGCACACACACAGTCACACACACAGTTACACACACAGTCACACACACACAGTCACATACACAATCACACACAGTCACACACAGTCACACACACAGTCACACATACACAGTCTCACACACACAGTCGCACACACAGTCACACACACAGTCACACACGCATAGTCACACACACAGTCGCACACACACAGTCACACACACAGTCACACACGCACAGTCGCACACACACACAGTCACAAACGCACAGTCGCACACACAGTCACACACACAGTTACACACACACACACAGTCACACACAGTTACACACACACACAGTCACACACACACAGTCACACACAGTCACACACAGTCACACACACACACAGTCACACACGCACGCGTAAAGAGATAATTTACTTACAACATTGGAGACGTTTTACCATGCCAATATACAGCTATAAATGACAGAAATTGCATTATTAATAGTTGTTATATCAAAGGAAAACCTGGCCATGTGTGGGTAACATACACATCGGAGAGCTATTCAGAAATAGTTAATGGCATTAAAGTATTTAATAACTTATTGGATAATGTAACAATGTATGCCAACTACATATCCGACTAAGTCTGAAAGCACGCTACGTCTATACGAAGAATATGCACGCTATGGCAAGCGCTTTATGTGCAAATATGTACACAGTATTCCCACGTTATTCACGAACTTGGCTGTCCGCGAATCGCGTCTGGAACTCTCTGCACGACTGCTGTGATCGAGAGTGATGGGATCAAGTGGTGAGAGAGAATGTGATGAGTTCATTCAGAAACTATTTAATACTTTAACATTTATTTACTTTACGTTTATTAACACCGATTGTTATTGGTTTGTGTCGTCATGATCATTCTCGTGTACCCAATAGCTTATTTACGTATCCATTTAAGATAATTATTTTTTATTCCCCGCGGCCCCGATTTGGTCGTCCGCTCAACAATAAAAAAAAACCGCGGCTAAATTCGCGAGCGTCCGCGGAACGTAGCCACCACCCACCCCTCGCCTCGCGAACGACGAGGGAATCGTGCAGAGGAGAAGACTGCTCGTGCGTACGAGAGGGAAGGGCCGCTCACGGAGACGCCGCTCGCCGCTCGCCGGTTGCGGGCGAACAGCGCGCGGGGTATGGGGCGGGTGGATGGGATGGGTGCTGGGAGACAATCACCAAACAGCCGCCAGTAAACTCGTGTCCCCAAGAAGACTCTCACACCACCACCACCACCCCCCCCTCCTCTACACAAGAGCAGGGCAGCTCCAACATCTCGACCCCAGCGTCTCTCTCTCTCTGCGTGTGTGTGTGTCCCGCGCGGGTCGGGTCATTTTCGACGTAATTGCACTTTCAGTTCACGGTCACAAAAGGAAAAGCAAAAACAACAACAACCAACGAAAGACGCCGCTCGGAGCCTCTCGAGCGCCGCACGAGACGCGGGCGAGGCTCAGCGGTGACGTCGAGAGCCGCCGCCGCCGCTCTCCCCGCGAGTTCTTGCAAGGGAGCCGTCGACCGGGCCAAGCCCCCCGCGGTCGTGTCCATCGGCGATTCCGGACGGGTGGAGGGGGGTCATGTCCCGGCTCAAAAGTGGTGGCACTTCCCCGCGCGTCCTCCTCCTCCTCCTCATCTCTCTCTCAGCGTCGCGCAATTCCGGGGCGCGCCCCCGGCAGTGCTGCCACCCTCCCATCCCGACACGGTCCGTCACCTCCGTCGACCCCCCCCCCCACTCCCGAACCCACCGCCGCCATCGCCTCGACGAAGAACCTCGGAGTCCGTCGCACGTCCTGACGCCGCCGCCGCCGCCGCGTCCCAGCCCGGCGTGGCGTGCGCCGCCCAGCGCCCTAAGTCTGGTCCAGCCAGTCGGCCTGCTTGGGCGCCTTGCAGGTGTGCACGTCCAGACTCTCCTGGCACTCCTTGCAGCGCACCGAGCAGCACCAGTGGAACTTGCACTCGCACTTGGCGGTGCGCGTGACCCGCGTCGTGTCGTAGCCGCGGCCGCAGCACATCACCTCGCAGCCGTCAGTGCCGCGCGACGCCCTGTTGCACGCCCGTCCCGCTGTCCCCATCGAGCCTAGGGCGGCCGCGGTGGGGTGGATGGGATGGGTGGGGTGGGGGGGAAACGAGAGCGAGCGGTTTAGCGGGGAGACAAAGGCGGCCGGGCGCGGTGCTGGCCACCCACCCCCTCGTGTGGCGTGCCGGCCTTCACGGGCGCTCGCGAACGGCACTTGCAGCGACGGTCTGTAAAGTCCACACGGGGGATCTTTGGCTTTGCTTTTTGTGTCGCTGCGCAAGGGAGCAACGCAAGGGGACAGGCGCACGGGGACAGGCGCGTCTCGAGGACGGGGATCCCGCTGGCTTAGGCGCCCGGCCCTCCTCGCAGGCACCGTCCGGGCTCCTAGGGAAGAGCAAGGAGTCGGCACAGTCGCAGGGGCCCGTGGACGGAGAGAGGGGGGGCTAAGGCCCCTCCCGTCTGTCCCCCCCCCCCCCCTTAGTGGTGTGTGCCAGCAGGAGGACTCTCCATGTGATCGTCGTTTCTACGTTGATCACTCCGCAGTGGGCTCGAGATGACAATGCAGTGTGCCACCCTCCCTACCTACAATGCAGTGTGCCCCCCCCACCGACAATGCAGTGTGCCCCCCTCCCTACCCACAATGCAGTGTGCCCCCCCACCCACAATGCAGTGTGCCCCCCTCCCTACCCACAATGCAGTGTGCCCCCCCCACCCACAATGCAGTGTGCCCCCCTCCCTACCCACAATGCAGTGTGCCCCCCCCCCACCCACAATGCAATGTGCCCCCCCCGCCCACAATGCAGTGGTGCCCCTCCCCGCCCACAATGCAGTGTGTCCCCCTCCCACAATGCAGTGTGCCCTCCCCCCACCCACAATGCAGTGTGCCCCCCCCACCCATAATGCAGTGGTGCCCCTCCCCGCCCACAATGCAGTGTGTCCCCCTCCCACAATGCAGTGTGCCCTCCCCCCACCCACAATGCAGTGTGCCCCCCCCCACCCATAATGCAGTGGTGCCCCCCACCCACAATGCAGTGGTGCCCCCCGCCCCATACCCCCCTCCCCCCGCCACAGGGCCCCCTATTCGCACGCCACTGTCCAGCGGCAGGTCTCTGCTTCCCAGCTAACCCTTCTCTCCCCACTGCAAAAAAAAACACACAACCAGGTGAGCGCCAAACGCCAGAGGAGCCACCGCAGTGAAATAATCTGGGAAATGCTACGCGCGTGTGCGTACGGGTACATATGTACGTTGAACTTCTTTCGCGCCGTACGTAGCGAATCGTGTTAATCGAAGATGCGGGGGGGGGGGGGGAAGGACAAAAAAACTAAACATAAAAATCTGTTCTAAAGAAATTATTTTCAATGGAAGTGCTTCCTAACATCGGAAGGAAGAGCGTTCCAGACGGAGGCAGAAGCGCATCTGAATGCGCCGCGCGATGCGGTGACCGCCGCCTTTGTTCGATGGCTGAGCCAAAAGCCGCCGCTGCGAGGATGACCGCCGGAGTGCGCGTGATGGTGGTTCATGCTCCTTGACGAGATCAGCGAGGCATTGTGGTTCATTTGTGGCGAGCGCTCTGTGTGTGTGTGACGAGCGCTCTGTGTGGCGGGCGCTCTGTGTGTGTGACGAGCGCTCTGTGTGTGTGACGAGCGCTCCGTGTGTGTGACGAGCGCTCCGTGTGTGTGACGAGCGCTCCGTGTGTGTGACGAGCGCTCCGTGTGTGTGACGAGCGCTCCGTGTGTGTGACGAGCGCTCTGTGTGTGTGACGAGCGCTCTGTGTGTGTGACGAACGCTCTGTGTGTGTGACGAACGCTCTGTGTGTGTGACGAGCGCTCTGTGTGTGTGACGAGCGCTCTGTGTGTGTGACGAGCGCTCCGTGTGTGTGACGAACGCTCTGTGTGTGTGACGAGCGCTCTGTGTGTGTGTGACGAGCGGTCCGTGTGTGTGACGAGCGCTCCGTGTGTGTGTGACGAGCGCTCCGCGTGTGTGTGACGAGCGCTCTGCGTGTGTGACGAGCGCTCTGTGTGTGTGGCGGGCGCGTTCGGCAACAGGAAGCCGATGCAGTTCGGCGAGCGCCGCACGGACACGGCCGGAGCCCGCGGTGCACGCTGCGGCTTGCCGATGTTTTTGGCAGGCGTCCCGTCGAGCGGTGAGTCGCATTAATCGAGCCGTGGTGGGGGGAGGGGAAGCTGCCACTGTGGTCGCAACGGCGGGCGCGCCGGACTCGCCACCGTCCGTGGGTCGCCGGTTCGAGTTGTCCTCCGCGTCCGCCCAGCAGCGTAATTGGGGCACCAGGCGGTGAGTCGGTCCATCGGCAGGTCGCGTGCGGCGGGGTAGAGTGTGAGGCCCTTACGGCCAGTAGTGGCGTGAGCGAGCAATTGCACTTACACGTACCCGTCTGCACGCCTTGGTAGAAGACAACACGTTTTCAGAGTCCTGGACGCAAATTTTTCTCGCGTGATGACAGCGGCATTAAGGGCCGCCGGCTGGCGCGAACTGGGCAGGGTGGCGGCGCCGAGAGCTAAACGCCTGGACTCGCCGCTCGAGTTTCAGATTCCGATTCGCGATGTCGACTTAGGAGCTCATCGTCCCTGAGGGTCTCGCGAAGGAAGAAACCGGCGTGCGGAAAGCCAGCGAGCGGCAGTCGCCGGTTGCCCCGGCTGGGGAACAGTGGAGTTCGTCCGTGGTGGCCGCGAGCGTCGGTGGGAACGCGGAGGCGGCCCTCTGACATCAGCCGCGCGATTACGCGCCGACAGACGAAGCTTTTAAAGCGAGGCTGACGCGAGGACACCTGCAACTTAATCTGGGATGAAATGTACCTCGCAAAAAAAGCTCAGCCTGCTCCGACGCAGGTCAAAATCCCCTCGTAATTACGATCGCGAGAGAAAAAAGGAGAGGGAAAAAAAAACATTTCTAATGAGTCTGTCTTCTCAAAACCATCCCAGGTGCCTTGCCGGCAAAGGTAAAGCCGCAGGGGCTGCTGCAATTGCCAGCTCACAAACCCCACGCAGCTGGCAATATTTGGCCCGCTCTTCGCATTCTTTACCCCGCCGTGCACGCGACCTGCCGATCGACTTGACCCTCTCCCCCGCTCCGAGACGTCTGCAAGCTGCAGGGTGGCGGTGGGCGGGCGTCCCCCCACCCCCCCCCCCCCCCCCCCCCCCCCCGTTCACCGTCAAATCGCAGGATGCGCAAAGCGACTCGGCATTCGTTTAATTCGGAGAGAGGCGTCGCAGCATCCCGTCGTTTTTGTTAAAGACGTTGTTGCTCGCCAGCAACAGAGGACCGCAGCGACACGACCGCCGCGCTCTGCGGTGGCTGGGACGACGATTGTTTTATTTTGGTTCTTCCGATTCCATTCCGATGACGTGCATTAGTGCACGTCATCGGAATGGGAAAGGGTTTAAACTGCGTTGGCTGAGCCCGTTCATCACACCGCTGGGCCGACCGAGGCGGGAGATAGGGATGTAAGAAACTTGCGCCGTCGTTTCAAGCGCCGCGCCATCGCGAGGTCGATCCGGCGACCCCTAGGTTGCGAGTCCAGCGCGCTAATCCGCTGGGTAGCGTCGCCAAGTAGCTGTGCAGTACGCGTACCGCCCCTACGGTAAATAGAATCTGGCGTAAAGTCCACAATTCGTTAACAAATATAAATTATCTTATTTGCTGCTGGGGCTGAGATAATGTCCATGTGAAGTCTGAACATTATACTCCACAGCAAAGACAAAGATCCCCCGTATAACCTTAACTGTTGGGGCAAAGTGCTGTTTGCGAGCACCTATGAAGGCCGGCACAGCCATGAGGGGGTGGGTGGCCAACACCATGCCTTTGTCTCCCCCAGTGGCGATGTTTATACACCGCGCCAGGTACTCACTTGAGGCTGAGTCGACCTAGGGGGGGGGAGGCCCAGGACCGGTTCAGACAACCATCACCGGTGTTGGCCGTGAGCGGGAATCGAACTCGGGTCACGAGGTTCGTAGCGCGGCGCGCTGACCGCGATACCGCCGCTCCCCACCCAATACAGACACAGGCGCACCCGTAGCGCGGTGCTCAGTGTCACCGCGCTACGAAACTGCCGACCCGAGTTCAATTCGCGCTCACGAGCCACGATGTCGGTGCCGAACCTCCGAACCGGCGCTGGGGCTCGCCACGAGAGAAACGCAGGCGGCCGGGCGCGGCGTTGCCCGCTCGCCGTGCCGCCTTGCCAAGGCGCTGCTCGTGGACGGCGCCCGTCCTCGCCGCGACCCCAGCAGCGGATCGAGAAACGAAAGGAACAAGAGGAGCCATTTTGTTTTCGAATTCGGTAAACAAAACAAACAAAAAACCGCAAAATTTCGATTTAAAGCTTTCGTGACTGCAATGATTCATCTTCTTTGGTTCTTTCGGTAAAGTCACGTAGAATGATAATAAAATAATAAATTGATAAATAAAATAACACAATAATATTCAATTTATTATTTTATTATCATTCTACGTGACTTTACCGAAAGAACCAAAGAAGAAAAACCCGCAACTGAGTATTTCGAGAGGCGCAATGCGGCTGTGGTGGTGAACACGAGACGCTGGCGGTACTCGATAAATGACGTCACAAAGCAGTCCCTTTGAAGAGCGGCCGCACGCGGCTACAGGAGACCTCAGGTTTGCCGAGCCCTGACCCAGACAGCCTGGGGTTAGTGGCATCTGTGTTTGTGCCGAAGATCTGCTACTGGCAACTGCGCTGCAAAGCAACGCTGCGCAGTTTGAATAAGTTGCGACTGAGGCTTGACTTGAGAAACATCTCCCGGTTTGGTCTGCAGTGGGAAGGGTGGCAACGCAACTGTTCACTCACTCAACTCACCCAACTTTACTCAACAAAAACCCACCCATCAGGCTCGCCACTTCGCCAGGCTTGACTCGAGAAAAAGCTCGGGGAGTTTGCGTCTGTGTCCGGGCGATGCCGCCCCGACGTGGCGCGAGAGAGACGCCGTCAAATTTTCAGGCCCCCCCACCCCCCTCCGCCCCCCCCACCGCCCCCCGCGCCCCCCGCGCCCGAGCAGTGGACTCACAATGCCCGCTCTCGAGCTATGGTGTCAAAAGAGTTGAGGATTATATTAGCTTATACGGAAAACGCTAAGCTCATTGGGGTGCACTGGGGCATGTCAACTCATTTCATACACTTGGCAGCACCGCCTTATTAATGCAACAACAGGGGCGGCAAGAAGCCCAAGGATATGCACGCGACGCACGACATCGCTCGCACGCTCATTTCTGGAGGTGAGGAGTTTAGGGTGTCTGTTGTTGTTATTGTTGCGGCTCGTCGTTGTCAGGTGCCGTTGCGGGGGGGTGCCTGTTGTTGTCGCTGTTGTCGGTTTGATGTTGCGGGGGCAGCGGGAGGAGCGGAGCCTCATTGGTTGCGATGGAGGTTTACGGGAAGATCCCGGCTCCGTCACCACCATTCCACCACGATGGGCTTTGTGGCGTGCGGGTAGCGGTAAGGGGCAGGCGGGCGAGTTGAACGCCAGGTAAATGGGAGCGGGGGGGGGGGTGGGGGGGGGGGCGTGGAGCACACTCGCAGGACGGTCGCTGACACGAGGAAGAGGAGGAGGAGGAGGAGGCGAAACTGCGAATAACCCAACCAACAAAATACATCCATTGTTAATTACATGACGACAGTTAACCCCCCTCTCTCTGGTCCTCGCACCTGATTGGCTCACAAGTGACGACGTCACGTTCATCCCCCGTCTATTTAAGACCACGACGGAAGGAGGATTCCTCCACAACTCTGGCTGTCGCCTGATGAGGCCGGTGGTAATTACCAGCGAAACGTCACGGCCCTCGGATTGTAACAAGGTTGTGGGTTTACTCTCCAACACACCGGATAGTGCTGTACTAGTGACGACTGGGCACACTTTGTTAATGTGACAAACCTTACTAATTGGCTGTGTCGGGCGGTGGGGGGTTTTACGACGCATTTATATTTATAATTACGACCCCTACTTTATAAAGCGCCTTTCATATTGAACTATCTGAAAGCGCTGTACGTAAAAAGTAAAACTACACCCACAAATATAGATAATGTGGGCTGTGTCGGATGGTGCCGGGCTTGACGACACATTTCATATTTACTCGATCTAACCCAAAATAACAGGGGTCACGAAAGCCCCGGCTGTTACTACCGCTGCTGCTCCTACTACCGCTGCTACTACCGCTGCTGCTGCTACTCCCGCTGCTGCTGCTACTACCGCTGCTACTACCGCTGCTGCTGCTGCTACTACCGCTGCTACTACCGCTGCTGCTGCTACTCCCGCTGCTGCTGCTACTACCGCTGCTACTACCACTGCCGCTGCTGCTGCTACCGCTGCCGCTGCTAATACTGCTGCTGCTGCTACTGCCGCTGCTGCTGCTGCTACTACCGCTGCTGCTGCTACTACCGCTGCTGCTGCTACTGCTGTTGCTACTGCTGCTGCTACTGCCGCTGCTGCTGCTGCTACTACCGCTGCTACTACCGCTGCTGCTGCTACTCCCGCTGCTGCTGCTACTACCGCTGCTACTACCACTGCCGCTGCTGCTGCTACCGCTGCCGCTGCTAATACTGCTGCTGCTGCTACTACCGCTGCTGCTGCTACTGCTGTTGCTACTGCTGCTGCTACTGCCGCTGCTGCTGCTGCTACTACCGCTGCTACTACCGCTGCTGCTACTACCGCTGCTGCTGCTACTACCACTGCTGCTGCTGCTACTACCGCTGCTGCTGCTACTACTGCCGCTGCTACTACCACTGCTGCTGCTACTATCGCTGCTGCTACTACCACTGCTGCTGCTGCTACTACTGCCGCTGCTACTACCACTGCTGCTGCTGCTACTACCGCTGCTGCTGCTACTACCGCTGCTGCTGCTACTGCCGCTGCTGCTGCTACTACCACTGCCGCTGCTGCTGCTACTGCTGCTACTACTGCTGCTGCTACTACCGCTGCTGCTGCTACTACTACCGCTGCTACTACCGCTGCTGCTGCTACTATCGCTGCTGCTACTACCGCAGCTGCTGCTACCGCCGCTGCTGCTGCTGCTGCTGTTTAAGTGTTAAAACTGAGGATGGAGTTCGTGGCGGTGAGAAGGTAAGAAGCAAGTGGAGTGTGGGAGGCTGAGACCTGGGCGCGGGGGGGGGTGCGCTGAGAGTCGGCTGCCGGGGTGAATAGGTTGAAGGGGCGGGGTTCTTTAGCAAATAGTTTGAGGAGAACGACGCTCCTCGTGCATTCCCATAACCTGTCTGGGCAGGTCAGATGGATTTTGTCCGCATGAGTTCGCAGGGCACATAACCAGAATTCCTGATCGCCGTGTGCACGTGATGATCGCCGTGATCGCCGGGGTCCCGTGGCGGGAACGCGCTTTCTGGGAAAATCGCCGGTGCCCGCACGTCGAGTAATTTTGGTGTTCTTGACTTAAGTAGGTAAGTTAAGAAATATATTTATAATCGAGCGATTTTTTTTTTCCTCTTCTCCGAAAATTACAATAAAGCCGCTTAAAGCCAAATAAAAATTATCCGTCGCTTCATTTAACAGGCGAGCGTTGAGTTCACCGGTTGGGTGAAGGCGTCGCTGTTATGGGAACTTTTTTGCCGGTATCAAAGAATACAAAAATAAAATTTGGTGTTTTACCCGTTCTGTAAATAAAACAGGCGGTGTGTTTAAGATGTTCGAACGCCAAACAGAGACCCTTTCTGCAAGGAATCAACTTGCCGCATTAACCACGCGCGGTACTTGCGGTGAACACGCAAACAAAAGCACAAGCTCTGACGATGTGCGGCTTTGTAACTGAAACCGAGTGGCCCACGCCAGCAGCCCTTCCTCGAGGACGTTGTTTTCGCGCGCGGACAGGCGACGGCGTTACCTCTCAAGTGAAAACTCACGTCTTATCCTCCGGCGCGTTGGGCCGAGGGGCCCGACGCTTCCTGCCGCACGCCAAAACGTCGGCCCAACGCGGCGAAGTTTTGCCGAGTGGCCGCGCGTGCGGTCGACGCACGCCTCTGCTGCGGTCACGGCCGGTCGGAGTGTTTACACTTTTAAAGATGATCATGAACGCTGCTGTGCGCCCTGTGTCACCTCGCCACGCGGTTGAAGCCAAGCCCGCCTGCTGTTGGTTTACAAAACGGGATCAATGAACTCACGTGCCAGACCCACTTCTGCCTCTCTGGCCCTCGTTTTTTTTTCACGTGCCATGGGGAAGGGATATCGCCCGAAACGTCGTGGATGAGATATAGATTTTTTTGAAAAATCGTTTTTAAGGCCACGGAAGGGTACAAATGTTTAATTAAAATTAGGATGAGAAAAGCGTGCCATGTGTGCGAGTACCACAGCTGTCAACCCGTACGGTTTCCAGGTCCATGCGGCGTACAGCCGTTTCAATACACGCAAAGCAAAAATCGTGTCCATTTGTGTGTTCTCCCTTGTGATGGGACTTTGTTGGATGAACGTTGAGATTTACAAGGGGCACGGGGTAACCAAACAGGTCTGAGTTGGTCTGTAAAAAGTTAGGCAGCACTGAGAAGGGGTTGACAGGTGTGTCGTAAGGCTGTATCATGCTGAATAATAATAATAATGATGATGATCACAGAGTTGTTACGATGACTTCGTGACACCACCGGCAGGGAAAGAAAAATACAGAAAACACAAACGGCAACATTGCGGATATGTAAGGAATTATAAAAGAAACGGATTTTTCTTAGCACTTTCTGCGAAAACTGTCAACAAATGGACACCACGTGCCATCCCATATGAACAAACAACGCGTTTGTGCTTTAAAGGATTTCACCCCCCCCCCTCCACCGCCCCACAAAGTGAAATCATTTGTAAAAGCCGCACGATTGCCTCAACGCTCAGGGCGTCCGTGACATTATCACAACGACTCCGATCGTCGTCGTAATGTTATCAAGAAGGGCACGGCCTCTCTGGTTGACGTGACCCAGCCTGAGCAGAGTGCCTCCGCCGCCAAGTAAATCCCTCATGGAAGACCGACCACAGCCCCGCGTGCCAGGCTAACCACCAAGAGTGCCGCGCCAGCGGCACTCATCTTCGCTGGCCTAAACCCGGGGCGGTAGAGACGAGTTCCCGCGCTTTGGCGCTGCGTTGCTCCACGAATACGGCGACAGGAGCTCCGATTCCCGCTCACGACCAATTAGCAGTGGGGAATATTTGAACCGGCCCTTGTCCGTGCCGGCCTTCATAGGTGCTACTCGCTAACGGCACTTGCCCCGACAGGCTATACGTGGGTTTATTTTTTTAATTTATCTTTGTCTCTATAGCTACTGGAATAAAATGCCCTCCCTTAGGACAGTGCAACGCTGAAAACAAACAACAGGCTGCAGGGTGGCGCAGTGGTGACACTCGCGCCTCGGAGTAAGCAGGGGGCCTGGGTTCGATTCCTGGCTCGGGCAGACTCTCTGCGTGGAGAGGTTTGTATGCTCTTCCTGCTGTTCTGTTCTCCATGGGCTTTCTCGAGGTGTTCCATTTGCACCCATACCAAACAAAACACCCGATACAATGCAACTGCTCTTGGCCACAGTATCTCAAATCTTAGACGGGCCACTCGAATACTGAATGCCAGCAAGGTGTGCCTTTTTAACACAAATAGCAACCCGCACATGATTTGGACGCGGCTGTCTGTCCGTCTGCTACGCCCCCCCGCCCAGCCAGCCAGCCAGCCAGGACGCCGCCCAGCCAGCAAAACTTTTTTCTCATAAACTACGATAGCGTCAGCGTGCCACGCCGCGCCGCCGCACAGCGTTTTGCTCGCTCTCGAAGAGGCAGACCGACTGAGAGGCGCGAGGAGGAGCCGCGGCCACGCAAATTTGCCGGCGCTGCCAGCAAATTTGCCACAGCCGTGCGGCCCCCTGCATATTAAAGGCGTTTACCGGGCAACTCAACTAGCAGTTCGCGTTGACCAAAGTGTGCTCCCTCGCCCCCTCTACCGCCGCCCCCACGGACAAAGCTGGTAAGGTAGCCACGCGCAGCGACCCGGCGCCAACAGCAATTGCCCAAGCTCTGCGTTCCGGGGTGCGTGAGGGTGGGGGGGGGGGGGTCCCTCACCAGCCTCGCGGTCGAACAGGCAGTAGTCGGGGGACGTGTCGGAGTAGACGAGGTCGCTCTTGGTGGGCTTCTTGAAGTTGCGGTTGGCCACGAGGAAGCCCGTGCCGTCCTGGTTGAGCGCCACCTGGATGGCGGCGTTGTACCTCCGCCGCAGGAAGTCTCCCGTGCGCCTGAAGTCGGACATGGCGAGCCAACAGGTGCGCAGCGTGCAGGAGCCGCTCACGCCGTGGCACTTGCACTCGGGCTTCAGGAAGCGCTTCACCGCCTTGCGCCACCCGCCACCGCCGGGCACGGAGAGGGAGCGTGGGCACACACACACACACGCACGCACACACATACATACACATGCGCACACACATGCACACACGCACGCACACGCACACGCACACATACATACACATGCACACACGCGCGCCGGTCAAAGACTAAGATCCCCTCCGTCTAGTCGGTGGTAAACGGGAATCGAACTCGGGTGGCCGGGTTCGCAGCGTAGCGTAGCCCTAACCGCGACACCACCGCACACACACACACACGTGTACACACACACACGTGTACGTGTACACACACTCACGTGTACACACTCACGTGTACACACGTGCACACACACACACGTGTACACACACACACGTGTACACACACGTGTACACACACACACGTGTACACACTCACACACACGTGTACACACACGTGTACACACACACACGTATACACACGTGTACACACACGTGTACACACTCACACACACACGTGTACACACACGTGTACACACACACACACGTGTACACACACACACGTGCACACACTCACACACACACGTGTACACACTCACACACACACGTGTACACACACACACACGTGTACACACACACGTGTACACACTCACACACACGTGTACACACACACGTGTACACACCTCCACTCTTGCCTCGTGCCAAACAAATACCGAACGGTTGAATGCAAATGGACACGCGCGCACACACAACAAAGATCCCCCGTGTAGCCTTAACAGGCTGTCGGGGCAAGTGCATGTTCGCGAGCACCTATTATGGCTGCGCAAAAAACGTGCACACGTGAGAAAAGAGGTCCCCAGCCACTGTGGGCGAGCAGCACCTATGAACGCCCGCATGGCACGCGAGGGGGGTGGGTGGTTAACACCACCACGCCCGACCGCCTTTGTCTCCCCAGTGTGCGATGTTTACACACCGCACCAGGTACTCATTTGAGGCAGAGTCGACCTAGGAGAGGCCCAAACCGGTCGAGATAATCGTCACTGGTGTCAGTGACGGTCAGCGGTTATGGAACTCGAGTCTCGTAGCGCAGTCCGCTAATCTGCTACGCTACCGCTTCCCACAACAGAGACAAAGATCCCCCGTGTAGCCTTAACAGGCTGTTGGGGCAAGTGCTGTTAGCGAGCAACGATTAATGGCCGCGCACACGTGCACACACGACCAACGCGTGACCATTGATTCCGTAAGTATTCACTGCACAACTTTGCTTGGCGACTGTGCATTCGGCAGTGGTGAACAAGGACAAAGGAATCGCAAAACGCACGCGCTCTTCAATGACACTGCTTTGAAATATAAAAAAAAAATACATTCGGGACGTTTCGGGCACTTCGAGGGTCATAACAATCCAGCAATAAATGTGTCGCCTCCATTCTGTCCGGTCTCCAGTTGTGTGCGATGAGGAGGGTCGTAGCCTGAAACGTCGAATATTATATATTGTTTTAAAGCCACAAGTGTTGTTAATGACGAACGTGGTTGAGTTTGTTTTTTGTTATTCATTTGTGCTTTGTGCACCGCTGCCAACTCAGCAGCAGCATCGCCACATAATTGGCGTAATTATTGAGCTTCACACCACGTGGTTCACTTGTCAATGTTGTTGTTGTTTAGTTAAAATATCGAACAAACCTTAAAACATTCCAGGCACAAAATAAAATTCTGACTGTCAACAAGTGTATTTTACAACGTGACCGACATAATTGTCCGTGTACGGTGCGAAAGAAGTTCAACATATTCTTGGTTCTTTCGGTAAAGTCACGTAGAAGGGAAATAATAAAATAATAAAAATACAAAACAATACTTTCATTTTTTTTATTTAAAGCTTTCGTGACTGCAGGGATTCATATTCTTGGTTCTTTCGGTAAAGTCACGTAGAAGGGAAACAATAAAATAATAAAAATATAAAACAATACAATTCTCAAAATTTCTTGCTGTGGTTTTCACACCTGATGATGATTGCTTGTGTTGCAGTCGAAATGTCGTGAAAATGTTATTGTTTTATATTTTTATTATTCTATTGTTTCCCTTCTACGTGACTTTACCGAAAGAACCAAGAAGAAAACTTTTATTGTTTTTTATTTTTATTATTTTATTATTTCCCTTCTACGTGACTTTACCGAAATATGAATCCCTGCAGTCACGAAAGCTTTAAATCAAAGTTCAACATCCATAATTGCACGCATACGCAACTTCGTGCAAGACAACGCGCGATCTCCACGGCAGCTAGCTTGCGTGCAGTGCCCATTAAAACGTTACACTTCAAAGTGTAGTATCTTTCCACCAGTGTTCATTTGTCCTCGAGGAAACCCGCGACACCTTTCGGCAAAGCTCCCGAGACCACCCCCTACTCAGAGCGAGGGCTATAACGGTTAGTAACGACATCCAGTAGGGTACCAGCCGCTCTAAATTCAAGTTTCTTGTCTTCGAGGTCACACCTGCTCGTTCGATTTCGTTTTTTTTTAAGTTGTTTAGTTTATATTCTTGGTTCTTTCGGTAAAGTCACGTACAGACAAACCTTACTAGTTGGCTGTATCGGGTGGTGGCGGGTTTAATGAAACATTTATATATTTACGCGATCTAAACAAAATAAAACTGTATTATGGAAGATATTGGTCGTGAAAGCCTTCGTGTTAAAGCATTGGGCAGGTATTTTTTTTAGTTAAAGGATAACTGGTTAAACCGGTAACCGTTTTCAGAAGTGGTTACCGGTTTCCCAGAGTCATGAACCTGGTGAGCTTCCCCCCCCCCCCTCCCCCCCAGCGGAATTTCGGGGCGCCGAGGTGGCGAGATGTTGACTACCTCGCCTGATATACAGGAGGTCGTGGCTTCGACTCTGACTCTGACGATGCCTGCTGCTGCTGCTGTATATTTGGAGTTTGTCTCTTTCCCCATGGTCGCGTGGACTTATCTCCAGGTCCTCGGGTTTTATCCTCCACATTTGGAATCGACGCGCGTTGAGAATTATTTGTCTTCGTTGGGCTTTCATTTGTGGCCAGGTCGCTTCTGATAAATAGCCGCACATCTGAGTGGGGCCTTACCTGGTACAACAAAATAAGAGTTGACGGTTACGTTTCAACGAGGGCACCGATTCGCCGGCGGCTCGAGTCACCGAATGGTCACTTTAAAACCTCGTTTCTCACGAGGGGGGCTCTAAGAAGTTCCTTGGCCTGCTCGTGCACGCCGGCCTAGACGTCCTGAAACGACGCGGGAGCACCCCGTGCGTATACTACCCCATCGTGCGCGACCCGCAAGCTCGACCGAACCGGCGTCGACATGGAATTGACCGCTGAACGTAGCTGCGGGCTGCTCATCGTCAATTGCCACGTAGGGGGTTCGTCCGTCGTGTGTGCCACATCTACACCGCTGGGTGGACACAGATCCCCTGCTGCTGGGGGGGGGGGGACGTGAAGGTAGCAGCTCCACCACCCCCCCACCTTTTCAGTTTTCAATTCGCACGGTGAACGCGTTACCGGCAGAGATATCTGCACGAGCTCTAAAATCCGTTGCCCAGGAAAATTATAATTTAACGACGCCGTTTTTATTTTTTTCTCGCGGGGCGGGGGGGGGCTAGGGCAAACGATCGCGCTCCGAATGCGTGGTGCCCCGCTCGCCGTGAGATGGATTGTTTCATAAGAAGCCCCGTGAGATGGATCGTTTAATAGACAGGAAGTTGTGCCCAGAATGAATTGGACCTTGGCCACAGCAGAATGGGGTGGGGGGGGGCCTCGAAATTAGCTGCAAGCCCCTCGGCGTCTGGGAGCGTCCCGGGTGCCATTCACATGCAAACTCGGGCCGACGCTGATCCTAGCTGGGAACTGCCATCACACGGTGCCAACAAAACCCTCTTGCGTGAGGAGGAGGAGGGGGGGTGGTTAATCAGGGTTTGCCTTTGTCATAATCACACTTCAGAGCTGGCCTGGCAGGACGTAACGATGTTTTTTTTTTTACTCACGGGCAAACAAACAGAGAGCACAACTCAGCAATGTCTTTCTTTTTGTCCTCGAACCGTCATCATCATCATCATCATCCTCCTCCACCGCCCCTTTTCTGACGCAGTGAATCGTGAAAGATGAGGAAAAATAGCGAACTGTTACAAGGGCCTGGAAGAAAGGGGGACTTGAGATCATTTGATCAAAAAGCTGCTTACACGGCTCGGCATTAATGCGGCGGATTAGAGTCCTAATCCCAACACTTCATCACCTCAGCGGGGAGTGAATGGGTGAGGTGGGAGGGGGGTGGGAGGCCAGCGACTGGCATGGCGGGCTGGGTGGGTGAGGTGGGGATTTTGGTGGGTGGAGAAATATTCCAGGAGGAAGAAAGCAAACGAGCAAAGGGGAGAGGGGGGGGGCGACAGAAGGAATCTGAACTGGCAGACTTACAGACCAAAGGGAAGGGGATTCGGGACAAAGGCATCAAGAGACCTGGGATGAGAGGGAGGCAATTAAAAAAGAGGAGGATTAAACTATGAGGGAATAATCAGCAACACGGCGGCGGGCGCATGTGACCATAAGTACGTGTCCCTGATGGCCCTTGCTTTCGGGAATGCAGCAGACTTGATTGAGTTTACCGTTGGGAGGGTGGCGGTCGGTTTTATTTCTTAAAATTTGTGGTAAAGCACAAGACGGTAAAACACAAGACGGTAAAACACAAGACGGTAAAACACAAGACGGTAAAACACAAGACGCTAAAACACAAGACGGTAAAACACAACACGGTAAAGCACAAGACGGTAAAGCACAAGACGGTAAAAACACAAGACGGTAAAACACAAGATGGTAAAACACAAGACGGTAAAACACAAGACGGTAAAACACAAGATGGTAAAACACAAGACGGTAAAACACAAGACGGTAAAGCACAAGACGGTAAAGCACAAGACGGTAAAACACAAGACGGTAAAACACAAGATGGTAAAACACAAGACGCTAAAACACAAGACGGTAAAACACAACACGGTAAAACACAAGACGGTAAAGCACAAGAC